GTGTTGGGACATTCTTTTGAACAGTGGCTGCTTTGTTTCCCCGATGTATAACTGGTCGCAGTCCTCCTGGCACTTCACAGCATATACAATATTGCAAGACACAACCTCCCCCAACCAACGACCACACACCAGAAGGTGTGGATCCCTCCAACGAAGAAGAACGAGCCCCCCAGCCAGCAGAGAGCAGAAAGCCAACACCGTCCCCCAACGCCCACCGAAGGAAGCCCCCGCCAGAACCACCCCAAAGAGAGAGACGAACGGCGAAGGACGAACAACCCATCCAAACAGTCCCGAAAAGGCATCAAAGACGCCCCGCCAACATCCATGCAGCCCCAGACAGGACCAGAACGTGCGCAGAAGTGGGGCAGGAGACCGTCCGCAGCGACCACACGCCGGATCCAAGTCCCCCCGAACCTGCACAATCTGTCCCCAGACCAGCGCAGACGACGCACCACCCTGAACCGAACCACAACATCCCCCACACACACCGAGGAAGAACATACACCTCGAACAACTTTTCGCCAAACCGTGTCCGACACGGACCCCGCCAAGCCCACCCCCAACCTGCCCCTCAAGGAATCCAAACCGGAGTCAGAAAATGAGCCGAGCAGAGAACAAACTCCGCCCACAGAGCGCCCTGCCACAGACCCGCACATCAAAATCCCATCCACAAGAGAAGTTGGGGGGCGCAGAGGAAAACACCCAGAGCCCGACATCACAAAATGCCTCAGCTGCAAACACCCGAAAAACTGCGACCCACGGATGCCGAATGTCCATGCCAACCGCCCAAACAAGGCGAACCCACCGTCCACACAAAGATCACCCAGAGAAGTCACTCCCTCCAAACTCCAAGCACCGAAAACAGAGTCCATTAGTGAAGGAGCAAACACACGGTCACCTGACACTGGAGCAGACAACAACAACCCTGCACCTCCAAGCGACCTCCCGCACCGACCCCAGACCCCCACCGTGCGAGCCACAACCGGACCAGAAGTATAAGCCGAGATGGGCCGACCAAACGGCAACCGGGAGCAAAGCAAAGCAGAGAGGGAGCTCGCCGCGACCGACCCCTCTCCAGACCCACCCAAGCAGGAACAGGACTGCCGCCCCCCAACCAGCACAGCAAGGCTCCAACGCCGGCCGCCCAGCAGCAATACAAAAAGTTGGGGAGTGACAAGCCACCAAGACCACGGGGCAACCGCAACACCCCACCGCCCATCCGTGCATGTCCTCCACTCCAAACAAAGGACAACAACTCACCACTCAAACTTGCAAAGAAAGTCCTGGTGAGGAACATAAGTACTGTCCATTTACCTTTTACCAAATATTAATCATAAAATACATAAAAAAAACATGTTCTGTTTATGTAGATGTAGAATTGTCCTGATCTACGTTTTTAATAAACAGTTATTTTCTGATATGGTAAATGTTTAAAAAATGAATATAATCACAACAAAAAATTTTATATTTTCAGTTGTTTATCCTTCTGTTTGCTGAGGCCATCACCAGCTGAAAAGTTAAGGACAAAATGAAAACGTGGTGTTGAATAAATCTTTCTTTTTAATCCAACACCTTACATGGAAATAACAAAAACAACTATAAATCATGTTTCGGTTGATGTAACTCAAATGTTGGGGAAATAAGAAACATTGTGTAATGACATTATAATCGATGCATTACGTCATTAAACCCCGCCCCTTGCAGAGCTGTCCCATATTTTGGAGGGGGTGAGTTGAAAATCCTATTCTGCACCCTGATCAAAATCCTGTTGAACAAGTATGAAGGGAGCTGAAACATGCAGGCCAGGAGCTATTCCCACCTGAGAAAGATAGCTCAAGTCAGTTTGCTGAAGTCTCAGAGAGAGTCACAGAATCCACTTTGATGACTCAAAGGTTTGTGCAACAAAATATTTAGCAATGGTACCATTTTTTTTTCAAGGTCAGTTTTATCAGTTTTGTTTTTATAAATCTGTTGAAACAGTTGAAATGCAATGATGGATTGTCATTGGTTAATTTTGTTTAAACATTTTTCCTGAAAGTTTCAAGGTGATTAACATTCATATTTTTTAAACAAAAGGACTCAGTTGAATTGTCATCTTATCGTGGTGGAGGAGTTTGTGTCCCTGAATGGGCCCAGGAACTATGCTGTCGGAAGCAATCAAAATTATCCCTGGTAGGGTCTCCCATGGCAGATTGGTCCTAGGTGACAGGCCAGACGAAAAGTGATTCAAAAGACTTGTATAGACAAAAACAAAACTCAATGTCTCTCTCCCAGACGTGGGTCACCAGGGCTCCACTGGAGCCAGGCCTGGGAGAGGGGCTCATCAGTGAGCGCCTGGTGGTGGGTCCCTATCCATGGGGCTTGGTCGGGCTCAGCTTGAATCAGCTGCATATGTTTGCCTTCCTGTTGGCCCACCACCTGCAAGAGGGGCCATACAGGTCAAACATATGATGCAATGGGCAGCACCCAAAGGCGAGGGCCTTGGAGTTCTGACTGGGTCAACCTGGTCTGTTTAAGTTTAAGTGGGGGTTTCAAAAAGACCTACACCAGCTCAGTGCCTCTCACCATGGACAACTCCATTCCCAACAAGCCTAACAAAGCTGGCTCTTGGGACCTCTTTGTGGGTAAGGAGCCTGAGCTTGTGCCAAGAGAGCTGCCCTGGCTGTTGTTGAGGAAAAAGCTCAATTGTGGGATGAGTTTGGTCCTTGATTAAGGACTCTCCCTTAGTTCCGAGGAAATTTTGGCAAACTATTCGGCGGTTGAGGCTGGGAAAGCAGCACTGAAGCGGCTGGGATGAGGATCAGCACAGTCAAATCTGAATCCATGGTCCTCAGTCGGAAAAGAGTAGATTGCACTTGAGGTTCTGCCTCAAGTGTCTGTTGAGGTGTTGAGAAGGAGCTGAGCTGTAAGGTAAAAATCTCTGTTTACAGGTCAGTTTACATTCCTAACCTCAACTATGGCCACAAACTTTGGATAGAGACCAAAATAATAAAATCACCAATACAGGCGGTGGAAATGAGGGTAACTGGACGTTCTCTTATGCATGGCTCCACATCGAGGAACCAATTCAGCTTGTTTGGGCCTCTGGTAAGGATGCCTCCTGTGACCCAACTCAGAATGAGCAAAGGATAATGGATAGATGGAAGGATACAAACAAATTTATGTCAAATTTTGATAAATCACATAGTTAGTCTTGGGTTTCCTGAATTATTCTTCATTTCTGCTACTATAGACTTGGACTGCTGGAGCACAAACTGACCACATTTCCTCACTCTGCTGTTGTCTTTAGTCTCTCTTCTCTACATGTTTATTGTAATTATTTCCATCATGTTTTTTCTTTGTCTCTTCCAGAAGAAGGTACACCTGGACCAGTCCTGGACCAGTTCTTCTGTGTTTGCCTGTGTCTCTTTCCTGTCCCTCAACCAGCTGGTCGAGGCAGATGGCCGCCTGCCCTGAGCCTGGTTCTGCTGGAGGTTTCTTCCTGATTAGCAGGGAGTTTTTCCTCCACCGTTTGCTCAGGATGGGAGACTGTGATGAAGTGATTCAACACAATCTGCTGGTTTCTTCTTAAGATTGTTCTTTTTTATGTACAGTGCCCTGAGACAACGTATGTTGTGACTTGGCGCTATGTAAATAAACTGAATTGAATTCAATTAATTTAACAATTTAAAACCAAACACCAAAATTTTATCCAACAGCTTTATGGCCTTCAAACATTTTAAATCTGTTATTTTTAAACCTAAAGCATCTTCCCCTTTTTGCTGTATTTTTGCTACCTGTTTAGAGCAACACAAAACTGGACTTTGGTTTTTATCCTTGAATAAATCGATAATTAAATTTTCTCTTATTGTTTGATCTTGTGTGATCAACAAAAGTTTGCTGATTAAAGAGAAACAAATCTTGATGTCAGAGTTATATAAAGTGTGCGTATGTGTAAACTGTGTGTAAAAAAGGGTGTATATTTCAAGCAGATCTATTTTAAGCAGGTGACAGCTGCCTCAGCCTGCTGGCCTCACAGCAACACAAACTTCACTCATCAGAAAATGTCAGATCACATGGGTGAAAACTGTTTTCAGGGTGAAAACTGTTAAACTGAGAAACAACCTGTGTGTGTTGGTGTGTGTCCCAGTGTATCAGTGTGTGTGTCGATATGTTTTCTTACCTCTGACTGAATAAAGTTGCTCCACTGAAGCCACTGAAGCGCCTCTGATCCCTTTTCCCAAAGTGAGACCCTGCCTCGTCTCCTCCCCCACACAGCAGGCCAGTGGACACTTGACACCAGAGCAGCCAGTATCCAAGTACTTTAACTCAAGTACTTCCTGAAATCATCTTTTTGTTCTTTCAATCAAAATGCTTCTCCTTTATTGTCAATTTCTTTCTTTCTTTGCTGGTATCAGGACTTCTTTTCTTGTCATCCCATTTCATAAACTTAGACTTAATTTTATTTGTTATTCAAAATTTTATTCACTCTTATTTGAAATTTTAGGTACTTAATTTTTTATATTAAAAACATAAGGATTGAAAACAGAGCTGCTCTAATATTTGCTACTTTTTTCTTATTTTTTTAGTCTGACATCTTTTCATTTCTTCCTTCCTTCCTTCCTTCCTTCCTTCCTTCCTTCCTTCCTTCCTTCCTTCCTTCCTTCCTTCCTTCCTTCCTTCCTTCCTTCCTTCCTTCCTTCCTTCCTTCCTTCCTTCCTTCCTTCCTTCCTTCCTTCCTTCCTTCCTTCCGATGTTGAAAATGTTACTTTTTGTTGTCATACATCTGTCCAGTTAATTTTCATCATGAAACTAAAACAAAGACTTCTTGTTCTTGAGGCTGACAGAAGACTCACTTTTATTAACTTCATAACAAATGATCTCTGAGCAGGAACGAGGTTTTCCCACTCTGACAGAACAAACTGCCCCACTGATCAGTGTGTTTATCTCCCGTCTGCTGACAATCGGCTTGACTATTTATAACCTGAGACTGCAGCTGATTCAGGTCTGAGCTCATGGTTTCCAGAAGGAAAGTTACAACAGTGCAGCGAGACTCATCAGATGAGATGAATTAAACCCTTACAGGAAAAAGAACAGCATTTGAGATCTTTTTATTTGAGCTTTTTTAAAATAAATTTTTTAGTGTTGAAAACAAACACATGACAATGGTAGCATGAGCAGACTTTTGTTACTAAGATGACAAATCTTCAGTACAGTACAATAAAAAAAGTCAAACAAAATACTGAAATACATGTTCATGCTTCAACATCTGAGTTTTTCATCTTTAATTCAACAAATAAACATTTAGGTCCTAAAATAAACTTTGCGTCATTACTGTACTACATGAAAGCTGTCAACTCTTAAAAAAATACTCTGAGGTCTGATATTGAATAAATAAATAAAAAAACACTGAGTCATCTGATTGGATTAAAGTACAGAAAAGTTAAGGTGTAGTTGCCTTTAAGGACAGTTTTGGTTCATTTAAACCTGGTAACTAAAATTAATGTTTGAACTTCATCGTTTTAGAAATTTTAAAGTCACTCCTTTTTGCATTAATTGGCACCAAAAACCACAATTCATCAGACAGTAAGATGATTCACTTTTAACAAATCAACAATTTTGTCTTGTGCAATAATTTCTCGAAATGTCTAAACCCAAATAAAACAGAACAAGAACTTTTTCACCTTTTATTGCGTCAAATCTAAAGGACTTGGTTACAATCACAATAACAGTGAGAACATCACTGACACTGGGTGAGTTGTTTCCTGTGAGTGCTTGAGTGTTCATCCACTGAATATTTACCCCACTAGTGTTTGAGCAACACGAGTTCACTAATCAAGCTTTAACCCTTTCACACATTCTCCTATCGAGTGTTCACCCATTTCAACCATCAATTAATTGAACCATTGAGTGTGTGGTTAACCACTGCACTCACCCATTGAGTGTTTCAACCTTTGAATAACCACCCATCCAGTGTTTGACCCATTGAGTGTTCATCTATTGAATGTTTCAACCATTGATTGTTTCAGTCATCAAGTGCTTCAACCATTTAGAGATTTCATCCGAGTGTTCACCTATCCAGTGTCCACTGACTATTCAATCATCAAGTGTTCATCTATCAAGACTTTACCCCTCAAAGTTTCACTCAATGAACGTTCGTCATTCGTCAAGACCTCACTCTTTGAGCATTTACCCACCAAGAACTCACATGTCAAACATATATATATATACTCATTAAGCCTATGCCTGTTGAGGGTTCTCTTACAGGAAAAAACATATACAATGTGTAAAAGTGTCACATCAACAGCTGAGAACACAAGCGAGGAAAAGCAAACACACACTGCTCTGAAAGAAAAAAGGCACGAAGAAAAACGACAACAGGTTTAACTGCATAGAAAACACAGGGACAGCATGACATTGTTGCTGAGATCCAAATATTAGCAGAGAGGAAAACAATTTAAACAAATTCCCCCCTAAAGCCCTGCTTTGATACACAATAAGGTTTACATTAAATACCAAAGGTTTACAGTTTGCTATGACCTGTCTCAAAATTGTGCTTACATTTTTACCAAGATAACCCAACATGTCAGTGGCTCTTCTTTGATGCATGAAGGTTGGTTTGGCACGTTAAACATTTTTAATGAGAAATGAACAAAGAACAGCATAAAACTGTAAAGTTCAAAAGCAAATTTGTCATGTTTGTTCGTTCATGACAACTTTCAGAAACAAGTTTGATGATTCACTTGATTGTACAGCTGCTTCATCTGAAAAAGTTCATAGATCAAACTGAACTCTTTTCAGCTGCCAGTTGCTTGTTTTTTTTTTTGTCAGAAGTGTTTTACGCAAAAAGTTTGAATGTTCAGAAAGTGGGGTTACAAGTTCAAAAACATCACAAAACAGACTAAAAACCCATTTTCTTGTTTCATTTAGTCCATAAATGCCTCAGGATGAACTCGTCCAGCACCAAAGAACAGCCAACAGTAGCTACATAGATTAGTTATTCTTTTTTCTGTCAAACCTTCATAAGTAAAAAAATAAAATAAAAATAAAACTACATCTCATCTTTGAGTTTGTTGACAGAGTTCTAAAATATGTTCAGAAAAAGACAAAACACTACCTGAGATCGGTCATTTGTGTCTAAAATATACAAAATACCTTTTGTCTTATACTCAGAATTACAGTGATCTATTACAAAAATATACTGTGTTTAATGTTCAGAAAGACTGCATTAAAATAAAACTCAGCAGGATCATGAAGAGACTTTTACATTTGAGGTGAATCTGCCTCTGAACATTTCTGGGCACACATCAACTCTGATGGATGATGAAGATAATGAGTGAGACTGACTTTACATGCAGAATTATATTCCATCCATGTTCGGGATAATAAACTATTCACATGTAAGTGTCAAAGCAAGTAAGAAAGGAATAAGTGCCGATCCTGAATGTGAAAATTCTGCATGTAAAGCAATAAAAAGAAGTTTCTTTTAGAGCTTTTACCGCTTTTGTTGGAATCTGTGTAAAAGGTGTTAAAGGAAAGAAAAAGCAGAAGATTTTAATCTAAATGTAGCAGAAAATGACCTGAATCTTCTTCATCAAATGTCAATGCTTCTTTCTTTCTTCCTGAGAAAGACTGTTGGAAACACCATGAATGTGACCTGGTTTTAAACATGAAGCAACTCTCCAAGTTCTGTGGACTCCATTACCCAGAGTTCATATTAAACTGTTCAGGGAGTACAGATTGTTCTAGATGCAGTGCTCGAAGAGAGGAAAAGGTGCCAGTACATTTTCAACATAAGGATTTACCAACAACCAGCTTGAAGGTTGTTAATTTATACTTTATATTATTAATAATTTATTTAGTCTTACTAACACAACCAAACAAAAGTCGAAACAGAAAATGAAAGCAGCCTAAAGAACATTTGTCCAATTTGATGACCTTTAATCTATACTTATATTCCCCCAGTTCCAAAACACTTTGGACATTTTGTGTATAAATAAAAACAGATTGCAAGGATTTGCAACACTCAAAAACCTACATTTTATTCACAAAGGGAACATAGTAAACATATAAAATGCTTAAACAAAGAATGTATTATATTAAAATAAGAAGATTAAAAGTTTATGACACCAATAAGTCTCAAAACAGTTGGGGCCAGGAACAATAAAAAACTGTAAAAGTTAGTGGTAGGAATGAGGAACAGCTTCAGGAGCATTTTGTAACTAATCAGGTTATTTTACAGCAGGTCAGTAAGAGGACTGGGTATAAAAACAACATTTCAGAGAGGCTGAATCTGTCCAAAGTAAAGATGGGAAGGGGTTCACCAGTTTATGAAAAAATGTCTGTGTCTCAATTCATAGGGTGCAACCGACATAGACCACGGCCAACATCGGCCACAGTCTAAGTGGGCCGCAAGTTGCTCACACAAGCTGCATAAACTATGAGAGGCCCTTTAGGCCATAACTCAAACTTGCTCTCACATAGGGCTGCCACGATTAGTCGATTGGCGACTAATCGATAATTAAAATAATGGATGACTAATTTAATAATCAATTAATCATTTTTTGTTGTTGTTCTTTACTTTGCTTTTCTCTCCAAACTGCTTTGACAACTTCCACTGCCACGTCTGCCTTTCTGTCCTTGACACACATGCACAGTAGTGGTAACTGGGGTAGGCCGTGGACGTCACAAGACATTATACAGACAGGCTCTGGTATCATGGCTACCCAGCAACGGAGCTCAAAAGTGTGGGATCATTTTAAGAAAATGAAAGAGAAACCTGTGTAATATCTGCAGAGCAGAACCTGCCTTCCACAGCATTTATGTTTTTGTTAGCATATAGCTAAAATCTAATGATAGTTATATAATAGCAGCTGCATTCTGGCACAATAAGCTGTGTGTTTTATATTCAATTAATGTATGATCTGATTAGTCGACTAATCGAAAAAAATAATAGATTATTTATTGATTATAAAAATAATCGTTTGTGGCAGCTCTACTCTCACATGTATCAAACCCTAAACGGCTGTAATGTTTACAAACATTTACATTTTGTAATATTTACAAGAGCACGCGCTGCCTCAATACCATGGTGATACATATTACATCGTTTCAGTTGTTTTTTTCAAGGTGTAACTTTACAAAATTCTGTTTGAATAGAAAATGTTATAAGGAAATAAAATGAATGAATAATTTCAGTACTTGTAACTGCATTTTATCTAACATCTCATTGCAACAAGTTTCTTCAGCTAAGTTGCTTAACTTACTCTACACTTACATTCTTCGGTCCATGAGCAATTTCCAAACTCTGCCTTATAAAAAACTATACTGTAAAATAAAATAAAATAACTCAGCCGCCTTTATTTTTCTGTTTAATTTGCTGACGGTGCAATCAACTGTGGGATATCGTCGATACTCAGATGCGGCCTACGTTTTTGGGGTTTCTGTCAGCTGTATATGTCGGTCACATGATAGGCGCCTATGAATTGAGTCAACCTGCAGCGCGAGACAGTGACGTAAGCGGCTGCAACCCATTAATTGAGACACAGCCACTGTCTAATAAAAATGGAACAATTTCAGAATAATGTTCCTCAATGAAAAATTGTGAAGATTTTAAAAATCCCATCAACTAAAACTCATATCATCAAACGATTTTAAGGATGTAGAGAAATATCTGAGCTCAAATGACAACGCTGAAAGTCAGTGCTGATTAAATGTGCTCTTTGGGCCCTCAGGAGCYGCTGATCCTGTTACTGATTCTGTTCAGGACATCACTGCATGTAACACTTGATGTGAACTCCATCTAGAAACTCTGCCATCTTCTCTGGACCAAAGCTCATTTAAATTGGACTGGACCAAAGTAGAAAACGACTTTGTTGTCAGATGAAGACAAATTAGAATTTTTTTTGAGAAACACAAACTCCACGTCTCTCTATCGAAGAGGTGCAAACCATAAGTCCTGTTAGTGCACTGATCAAAAGCCTGTCTCTAGAGGTGCATTAGTTCCCCTGGAATGGACAACATACACATCTGGAGCGGCACCATCAGTGCAACAAGTATCTTCAACTATATTATGCTACCATCCTGTAAAAATTTCAGCAAAAAAGAGCCAACTAGAACCTTCCATTGGACAAGACATGGGAATACATTCCTCTACAACAACAATCAAACTCAAATTCATTTTATTTTTTCCTCAAAATTGGTGCAATTTTTTAGTTTCAACATTTGACATGTTTACTATGCTTTATTTTAAATAAAATATGTTGAGGTTTTACAAATTATTGCATTCTGTTTTTGTTTGCAAATGAACCAATCTTTTTGAAATTTGGGTTGTAGATAGCACTGGAGATAACTGATCAGTAGTGACAATAAATAATCATATACTATAATCTTTAGGCACTTAAAGGCTCCAGAGGGCCACTATAGTCATACTTGAAGCATTTTTCTTAGCAAACACATCAACAGTTCAGGATTTCATTCACTTCCAGTCAAAGTGGAGAGGTTGTTCCCAAAAAAAGTAGGAACACAGAATCTAAATATCTGCATGTGTTGCTCCACTATTCTGCTAAGCATCCTCATCTGGTTTTACTGCTAACAAAACAAAACTCATCTTCTCACAGACTGTATATATGGACCTCAGTACCAGCTGTCATGGACTTGCAACCTGTCCAGGGTGTACCCCGCCCCTCATACAGTGACCCCCATGACCCTGAAAGGAAGAAGCGGGTAAAAGATAATGGAATGGAAGTACCAGCTGTGACGGAGTGGTTAGGGGAGTCTTCTTGTAAATGATGAGTTGCCAGTTTGGTCCTCTGTTTCATCCATCGAGTCCTTTGGTAAGACACCACACCCTCTTTGCCTGCTGGTGGTCAGAGGGTCCAGTGGCGCCGGTACATGGCCGCCTCTGTCAGTGTGACTCACTACCATCAGTGTGTAAATGTGTGTATGAATGAGTGAATGATTCGAGAGTAAAGCGTTTGAGTCCGTAGGGACCATTTAAACCATAAAAACCATTTACCATCTAATAGCTGTGCCTTCGATTGGTTCCTTCTTAACCTGTAATCAATCATTGCTCCTCGTGAGTCATGTGTCATTTGATTTACTAAATCTGGGCCAATCAGAAGCAGTACTGATTGTGTCATGACTTTCTGCTTACAGTTGATAAGCATGTTTATGGGAAGTGGCAGTGCGCTATAAACGTCAACGGTACGATAAGGAGAAACATTTAAAAGTACTGGTACCGGCCCACTTTGAGCACCGTCAGGATGAAGTGCTTGTCAAGCTTTTTGTTTCTGAAAATGTCAATTTCTACATTTAACACTTTAAGTGTGACAATTCTGGACCCTCAAAGTCAAAATAAATCTCAGTGGTGACCTGATACAGAACAAAGAACAAGCTAACTTCATCTTCTGATTTTTTTTTTTACTTGTTTGTAATATAATCTCTGACGCATCCACAGTAGTGTTATTTATGTTTATATAAACTTGACTGTTTTCCAAATCTTCAAAAGTTCAAAATCTCTTTTTTAAAAGTTGTGCAGATGAGCTTGTTGTAAAATTGAGGAGACAGCAGGAACGGAATCAAAGCAGATTCTTTTTTGCGACAGGCTCCATATTCTAGACGTGTTTCAGTCTGTATCATGGACAGAGACAGGTAGCAGGGGGGTGGCAGCTTCGCTCCTCTCACTCTCACTGCCTTCTTCCATCGTGCTCATGCTCGCCTGATACTCAACGAGCCTCTTCTTTTTGTTCTCCTCTTCTTCTGTCTCAGCTGCTCCTGAAGTTTGGAAAGGTGGGAGGTCTCGGCAGTAAGGTGATGAGAAACATGGCACCAGGTGCACCTCACCATTTTCCTTCATGAGGTGGACACAGGTGTAGAAATCCTGTGGTGGGTTGCTGGTCGGGTGAAGACTGGGGGTATTGTTTGTGGTGACCCCAGGCTGCTCCATCATGCTGTAGTCTGTCCCTGGCACAGACAATACATCAGACCTCTGCCATAGAGAAGCAGTACCCAGCAGCGGAGCAAAGACTTCAGGAGGTGGTGAGCAGTAAGGTGGTACACTCTGAATGTACAACAATGGGTTCTGAATGGAGAACTGATGCTGGACAGCGCCGGGCGACTCCCTCTCCCTAACTGAGACATCTGCAGGGGTCCTGCAGTCCTTCGGAGAGGTTAGGTAGATGCCGTCGGCACTGACCTGGTCCCAGACTTCAACAGAGTAACTTGGAGGTCTGTAGCTGTGGAAGTTACTGAAGTGATGGTTGATTTCTTCCAGGTTCCCCTTCTAACAAAAGAAAAGACAAGGAAGAAAAGAGTTAAAGGGATCCCTGATTAGTTGAACATTGAACTTTATTTGACAAACATTTATTTTAACTGTAAAATAAAGACTGTAAAAATACTGTAGCTGTTTAGTTTTATAAAATTTTCAAAATATATTTTAACACAGATGGAGCCATTTTATTTACACGCAAAGCATTCTGGGTAAATGATGACATCAACTAGGTCAACTAGGTGTGAGGCTGCTAGCGAGCTATATCCACCCTGAAGGTTAATCTTGGACAATATCTGATGATCGACTCTTTTAAATGAAACTAGAGAGCGTTGACAGAGAGGAGAAGGTAGAAATGACTCAGCCTGTAACTGAAAATATAGATGGAGGACAACAGAGCTGCTTCATGGAAAAAGAACCTCAGCTTAGCCTGTTAGCCTTCGCACTAGTGCCAACGCCATATTGCCTTATACTGTATGTATTAGCTCAGTGCTAGTGCGACAAACAAGCTAAACTGTTGTCCTCCATCCATATTTTCAGTTCCAGGCTGAGTCATTTCTACCTTCTCCTCTCTGTCAACGCTCTCTGGTTTCCTTTAAAAGAGTCGATCATCAGATATTGTCCAAGATTAACCTTCAGGGTGGATATAGCTCGCTAGCAGCCTCATGCCGATGACCTGGTTGATGTCATCAATTTCCCAGAATGTTTTGCATGTAAAGAAAATGGCCCCATCTGTGTAATATATTTTTAAATTTTTAGTTTAAAAATTATAAAAACTTAACATCCTACAGTATTTTTAAAGTCTTTATTTTACAGTTAAAGTATATGTTTATTAAATAAAGTCTAATGCCACAACTAATTGGGGATCCCTTTAAGAGTGAGACACATAGGTGAAAGAGTTGCAGATGTAGAGCCCTGAAAAGATGTTAAGAACGTGATTTTGTTTAATAGGTATATTGATCATATTGGATAAGCATTTATTTGATTTAGTATTTAGTTAGAACAATTCAATTGGTTTATGGCTAAATACTGTATGTGCTCAAACTATTTTTTTACTTCATATATTTCTGTCATGATAATACCCCTTTAAGAATGTTGCAATGCATGATGGGAGAAAAAGAAAGTTCATGACCTGTGATTATTAAAGAAAAAAAACAAAAAAAAAAACTACACATGCTGTATGCTCGAACCGTGGATTGAGTTTAATAAAGTTGCACAAAAGATGATTTGAGTTTCTTTTAAGTTCTTTTTAAGGGTGCAACACAGAAACGACTTAAAGAAACACTTTTAAAAAGAATTAGCATCCTAAAGGTAGGAGACAAAAGGACTAAACAGGAGTCTTAAAGGAAAGATACAATGAAAGGAGGATGGAATTAAAGCCAAACCTTGACCCTGAAAGAATCATGTTACCTTTAGGAGCAGCGGATCAATGCCGATGATTCGTGGTTTGGGAATAGGTGGCAGGAAATATTCTTTTATTCTGAAAGTGAAAGCACAAAACCAGGAAATAAAATTGGCACCTAGGGATATAGGAGATCTACACGAGATTTCCCATCGACATGAAAACTGTCGAGAACCAGACTAAAAACCCAGTTTCTGGTCTTTGTCTAATCAACTCATTACTCATCACTTGAAATCATTTGTGTGGCAGCAGTTCTAGGCTGGCACTCGGACCATGCGGCGCATCACCCAAGCCATTTTAAGCATCTTTTACAGCCTCTGCAGCTACAGGCTGAGGAAATACAGAACCACCAAGGGGCCATCTGGGGATTTATTATTTTATTTTTTTGTGTTCCCACGCAACATTTTCTGCGTTCCCACACAAAAGTTTAGCAAATTTGCCAAGCCAGAATAATCCTTGCAATGACTGTTCCCTCTTGCTAAAGGTATTCTTTTTAAAGGTTGCTCATTGATGTGACATGTGTGACTTTGGCAAACACAGACTGAATTTCTTTATATTTAAGGCTGATTTCATAACAAAACTCTATGAACCTCCAACACAAGTGTAGTGTCCGTTCCTGTGTGGCTGTTGTCTAGTTCGACAACTATCCCACAAAGTATTGTGAGGTAATGAGAAACAAAAAATATATCACAATGTCCTCGCAGAGGGTCTGTAAGAAGAAGAGTCTTTGTCAAATATTTATTTCAAACAGAACACATTTAATGATGAGTTCATAAAATGATTTATTGACTTTAAAGCTGAGAAAATTAAGTTTAACCCCTCTGAGTTGAGAAGAAAAGAGTTCAATAAGAGGAGGTCAGTCAGTTGAGTTTGTAGCAAAGGCTTTTTTCCTATTTTTTTTTTTTTTGCTAAAATCTTGTCTTGTCTCAGGGATAAGTGTCTTGTTCCACTGTAATGGCAGCACATGAGCAGAGAAAGAGAGCAGCTGAAAACAACAACATATTTCATTGTGTATTAGCGTCACACTCGATTCGTTTGATTTTCCTCCCAGTGTTTAACTGAAGTGGTATTTGTGTCTGCAGGCCAGACTCTGGATGTTCGCTTCAACGTCAGCCTTCGTTTACCCACACGGGATTTAAAGGCTTCGATCAGACATGACAGATGTCAGGAACACACTAAGTAACACATTACTGCGAACAGCCCAACGCAGAGCCGTGTATCTGCAGCAGATCAGAGCGAAAACACTAAAGTAGGTCTGAGAGGAAAATCCTGCTCTGACCCTGATGGAGCTCAGTCTGCCAACACTGTAAAGGACATGTTAGCTGAAGACTTTTACACACAAACATAACCCAGGAATTGAATTTCAATTCATCTTTAATTATTTCATTTCATTTTGTGTTACTAAATTAAATGTTTGTCCACGTTTCCAAAATTTATTTAGTATTTGAACCTTCAAACCATGAATATTAATGTATAAAAAGGTGACTTGAGTCAAAAAATTAAATGAAAAATACAAAAGCAACAGGTTTTTAACAATCTGAAATGTTTGTAATTATTCTTTAATATCAGCAAGTGTTCTAAAAGCAGAAATGACTGGCTGGTTGAGTCCGAATTTAACTGACTCTAAATCCAGTTTCAAACAAGATTAACTGAACTGGATTCAAAAAACCCAACAAGCTCGTGAAGAATATAAGCCGAGTGTTCCTCACCTCCTACTCTGCGGGAAAATGCCGAAGACGATGACCAGCAGAGCTACGACACCGACTGCCACCACCAGCACCAGAACCAGAACTTTACCTGCACAGGTAAACACAGTTAGACAAGGCAGAGCCATTCTCCATTCTTTAATTTTCTTTGGATTTATTTATTGATTTATTGCTTTATTTATTGTTTTTTTTTTTTTACAATATAAGACCTAGCATTCTTTGAAGGAATGCACATCGCATGCCATCTTTCATTCCAGAGTTTTTGACTAAAATAACTTCACGTTTAAAACAAAGTTTGAACCTTTTTGTTCAGTGCATGAGCTCATGACAAAATATAAATGTTGTGCTCAGAGTTGTGAATAACTCTTAGCTATTTCGTGGTCACACAGGTGTGGAATAAACGTTCCACCTGTCTTTGACATTGACCTCCGAAGGCCTCCATCAAGGAATAGAACTCTGTTCGTTTTATAGTCATTACATTTTCTTAAACAGTAAAGAGAAATTTTATTTAATTTTATTTTCTTTAATCAAGATAATAAACAAAATAATAAGGTTCTTTATATATTTGATTTATATTTTTCTTAATTAAAAGTTATCTCTTAATTAAAAGTTATCT